ATTGTCAATTTATTTTTCAGTTTTAAAGTTTAACTCGAGGTTTTCAGATTGAGAAGCGAAGAAAATTATAGTCCCTCTTGTCCTAGTTAGAAAGTCAGTTACATTGTAATATTTGTTGGATACTGATTGTCTTGTGCGTGTTATTATTCTCTGGTCTTAGGTGTGTTATTTAAGTAAATAAAAAAAACTATTTAGTTTGCTAGTACCATCATTGTGAAAACATGAGATCAAACGTAAGTACTATATTCTTTGTTTTTCATGTATATTTGTACTTATTTTTATAAAGTACCTAAAGTGTAAAAATTATTAGGTTAGATAAGTTAAAACAATGAAAAAAGTAATCATATAGATGTGCAATTTGATTAATATTTTGGGTGGAAAATTGCATATATAGGCCCCGGCATGGCCAGGTGGTTAAGGCGCTCGACTCCCAATCTGAGGGTCGCGGTTCGAATCCCCGTCACCCCGAACATGTTCGCCCTTTCAGCCGTGGGGGCGTTATAATGTGACGGTCAATCCCACTATTCGTTGGTAAAAGAGTAGCCCAAGAGTTGGCGGTGGGTGGTGATGACTAGCTGCCTTCCCTCTAGTCTTACACTGCTAAATTAGGGACGGCTAGCGCAGATAGCCCTCGTGTAGCTTTGCGCGAAATTCAAAAAACAAACAAACAAACAAAATTGCATACCTAACTCTGCTATTTGTAAAAGTCCGATATATGTAATAAAACTCTCAGTCCTTAACGAGCTTTCTTTTTGAAGCTCTTATTATGCACTTTAAATGTCTTACATTAACAGTTTTTCATGTTATTTTAAGGAGACTACATTCCTCCATCTTATTTCTCTTAATAAAAACGCAGAAAACTCTTAGGATTGGTATAGTATTGATCCAAGATGAACTCAAAATGTTATTTTTTGTTAAAATCATAAATTAGCAAATACCCAGCCAAATATCCATTCAAGTCATAACAATGGAGGTTTCATATAATGCTTATCCTCCATGTGATGTTGTACGATTTCCCAAATTGAATACAAAACAGGAACAAGATGCTCCCTTTTAAGAAAGGCTTCCCTCATTGATGAATGGAGAGTCGTATTATATGGTTCAGAGTGAAATATTTGTTTGCAAAGGTCATTAATCATGCACTCCAAAACCTTACAAAGACATTTAGTCAGATAAACTAGTCTATAGTTAGAAAAAAAATTGTATCATTCCCAGACTTTCAAAAAGGGTTGACAATAAATAACACAATGCCATAAGTCAAGAAATGTCTTCTACGTGGTTTGGTTTAAAAGAGCCAAAAGGTCACTTACAGAAGCAGAAGAGCAATATCATATCATTTTGTAATAGATATCACCTGGTCTGGCAGATATTTTGCCAAACTGGTTAAGAGCTATTTTGAGATCCTGAAGAGTGAATATAATTTTATTGGGTTGGTGAGATTAAAATAACCATGCAAGATGGCCCATTCTCGTGTCCGAGTTAATCTTGCTTCTTGGCAGAAAGGAGTCTACCATGAATAGGATTACAATGGGAACAGTCCAGGGTTTAGGGATATTAATTGCCGCTGCAAGAATAATGTGATTGAACACTCTTTAATAGAATGTAAGGTAATGAAAATGCTATCAAGCTCTGAATGAGTGGTGAAGAATGGCCATTCAGTCTTCTTAAGTCTCCATCATCACACATAAGTTAGATGGCAATAACTATGGCCCAACTCTCTCAGAATGATGAGACATTAATTACTGCCACTTGGATTATCCTCCACCTGCCAAAAAAGGAAAGATGAT